CAGCCACCCAAGCAGAGAAGCCCAGACCTCGTTCTCCCCAGCCACCTCCTCCAGCTTGTCCGGGGGGAACACCAAGGCGTTCCCAGGCCAGCTGAGAGATATAATCTCTCCAGCGTGTCCTGGGTCTGCCCCGGGGCCTCCTCCTGGTGGGACATGCCCGGAACACCTCACTTCATTAGTTTCCATTTTAGAAATTGCAATGTTTATATTTTAACTGCATACATTTGTCAAAAAACAAACAAAAAAACAAACCAAATAAACCCTTTGACGGTGTGCACGTGTAATATTAAAATTACATTCTCAAATTAAATAAAATAAGACATATATGAAGTCCAGACTAAGGCATAAAAATGTACCTTTATTTTCTTGGAAAGATTTCTGACATTAACAAGAGGCAAGTTTTTGTGCTGCTAAATCCAGATGTTATGATAGTGTAGGTTTTAATAATTTATATTAATAATAATTCAGTGTTCCACCTAACAACCCTTAGGTCAGTGGATCGGAGTTTTATGGCCTGTGTGCACTTTTGTTGGCTTTTGAAAAAAGATTTCATTTTTATATTTTTAAATATTTTTGCAATTTAACTAACGCAGTATTTGATATTATTGCAGGTATTATTTAGGACATTGCTGTCAACCTTCAGCACGCTGCATAATTTAACCAGTCTGGTATCAGACTAAGTTAACAGTTCATCTGCATATTTTAATAAATAATTAAAACTTCTGGAGGCTTACTGATTTTGACTGGGTGAAACGTATTGCAAATTCAAGAGTGGAGAATAGATTTATAGTTTGTCACATTAATATAGTGGCAGCCATGTTCAAGCCATGTTTAGAGTGATAGGAATCCTCTCCAACGCTACTATTCATATCAATAAATATGTCCTTTAGAACATCCACTGACATTTTTAAGTGTGCTACTGGAAAGCACACAAAGATAAAATTATCCATGCATCCATCCAATTTCCCCCACTTATCCTTGTCAGGATCTTGGGGAGGCTGGAGGCTATTCCACCTGCCATAGGGTGAGAGGTGGGATACACCCTGGACAGGTTGCCAGACAGTCACAGGGCTAACACTGACACACAACTAGGGCTGCTCGATTATGGCAAAAATGATAATCACGATTATTTTCACTGAAATTGAGATCTCGATTATTTGACGATATTTATTTAACCCTTCATGCAGTAAACGTGGATCAAGTTCACATAGCGTTTCTTTATCCAGATAGAAAGTCTTGAGCAGGAGAGATTAACAGAGTTTCTCAGCCGAGAACAAACAGAGCAGATATGGAAGCTCTGCACCACACGTCTCTCCAGGTGAGTTTGTGCATAGATCTCTCTATATGCATTTAAGTGATTTTCACTTAAAATATTTACAATGTTGCATGTTTGGGTTAGGATGCCCGTGCAGTACGTGATTGAAGAGTGGGACTTCAGGGACCTGACGCTGAAGATGAGGCCTCCTGTGTTCATACCACGACCTGAAACGGAGGTAAAAGAAAAGACGAGGCAGTGCATGCTCGCAGTGAAGACCCAGCAAATGATCACGAATAAGCCGAAATGTGATTTTTATTTCGTCTTTGCTGATGCAGGAGTTGGTCGAGCTGGTGCTCAATGATCTGCAGATGAAGACTGAGATGGGAGTGCCTGCTGAGACGGAGCCTACGTGCCTGGAAGTGGGATGTGGGTCTGGTGCCATTTCTCTTAGCCTGCTGAAGAGTCTGCCTCAGGTAGAATTTTGTGCTTCTCGTAAGATTTCAGATGAGTGGAATTATAATAAGGGACCCCACAGGAAAAAGGCTGTTTAACTTATTAATGTATTACCCCTCACTTTGGGTCTTAATACACTGACAATGAGTCAAATTTTTCATTACAACAGTGAAATATATGCAGTATATTGAGGTTTCTCATTGGTTGTGATATAACCACTGGTTGCTAGGGAAAAATGTGTATTCCTATGACTGGTTCTCATTTCTACCCTCACTGATTGAAATTGAATTTCATTGAGGTCAGGTTTTCTGCAAATCTTGTGAATGCGATAACTCGAGAAGTAGGTTGCCTGAAGTATACATTTTTACATTTATACCAC